TGGCCACTTCTGGCCACTGCAGCCTCGACCTGCTGGGCTCCGGCCATCCTTCCGCCTCAGACTTCCAAGTAGCTGGAACTACAGGCACGTGCTACCACACCCGGCTAATTTTTTTTTTTCTTAGTTGGAGTCTCACTCTCACTCCATCGCCCAGACTGGAGTGCAGTGGCCACTCCCGGCCACTGCAGCCTCGACCTGCTGGGCTCCAGCCATCCTTCTGCCTCAGGCTTCCAAGTAGCTGGAATTACACGTGCGCGAGGCTTCCAAGTAGCTGGAATTACACGTGCGCGCTACCTCGCCTGGCTAATTTTTTGATTTATTGTTAGAGATGAGGTCTCACCAAGTTGCCCAGGCGGGTCTCAAACCCGCGGACTCAGGCAAATCCGCTCACCTCAGCCTCCCAAAGGTGCGGGATTACAGGCTGAGCCACCAAGCCTGGCTGAGTCCTTCTCTTTTAAAAAAAATAAATTAAAAAATATATATATAGGTGATCAGTATTTGAATTATAAATTCTTGGCTGGACATGGTAGCTCATGCCTGTAAATTCCAGTACTTTGGTAGTCTGAGGTGGGAGGATCACTTGAGTCCAGGGGTTTCGAGACTAACCTCGGCTACACAGTGAGACCTCATCTTTACAAAAAACAAGCAAACAAAAAAAACTAGCCGGGCATGGTGGCACCCGAGAGGCTGAAAACAGGAGTATCCCTTGAATCCAGGAGGTCAAGGCTGCAGGGGCCCAAGATTGAGCCCCACTGCACTTAAGCTTGCGTGACAGTGAGACTTTGTCTCAAAAGGAAAAAAATTCTCCAGAGGTATGTATGGATAACAGAAAAGCTATACCATACCGCCTCTGGAATGTGACTCCTTGCTTTGATAATGGCTGTCCATCTCTGGAATGTTTCTGTGTAGAGCATGTGCCCTCAGATCGACTCGGCTATCCCCTCACACTGTAGTTTAAACCAGTCATATGTATTTATCCTTGTCTCTGCAGTTTAAAGTACATGAGTAAGACAGGTGCGGTGGCTTGAGCCTGTAATCTCAGTAATTTGGAAGGCAGAGGTGAGAGGATTGCCTGAGCTGAGCAGTTGGAGACCAATCTGAGTAACACAGCGAGACCTCGTCTCTGCAATAAGTCAAAAAAATTAACTGGGCGTGGTGGCACATTCCTGTAGTTCCAACTACTTGGAAGGATGAGGCAGAAGGATCTCCTGAGCCCAACAGGTCCGGGCCACGATGGCCATGAGTGTGCCATTTGCACTCCAGCCTGGGCGACAGAGTGACACTGTGAATCAAAAAAATGAATAAAGTCCATGAATAGTAACCCAAGCCCCTTATATAAAGCCAGTGAGAAGAATTCATCTGGAGAGTCTACTCTGCCTCCTGATCAGTTTAATCAATAAAGCCGCTAGAAGGCTCAGGTGAGACTAATCAACAGAATCCTACAACATTCAGTGACAGATGGAACTAGGGTCTTGAACTCTAACTTGGCTTTCCTGTCATGTTGACAGCATGTGAGACAGGGCTGGGAGATTGTTTCCCGCTTGTTTTTTTTCCCACCTGCCCCCCAGGGCCGCTTGTTTTTTTTCCCACCCGCCCCCCAGGGCCGCTTGTTTTAAAGGAGAAAAGAGTGAAGAGAGGACAGGGCACAGCGTCCCTCAGTTGCTCCCTTCCTCAGGCCCTGGGAGCCAAACCGCCTTGTGTCTCCAGCCCAGGGCTGGAGGAGGGTTAAGTAAGATAAGGGCGGGTGATGGAAGGCAGATGGCTGGAGTCATTAGTGCGACTTTCCATTTCAGAGTGCTGTCTGCTGAGACTGTATTTAACTTCATGCAGGCACGGGGAGGGTAGATCTTGTTCTGGCCGGAAATAGCTGTTGTTTCACGGTAATGAACAGGAACAGGAGCGCAGAGGGCAACAGGCTGAGGGGGACGAAACTGTGAAACTGTGAAAGGTGAACCGCTTTCTCCTCATCCCTCCCTCACTCCCCAGAGGAATACATTTCCAGTTGTGAACTATCACCAAGATGTTCTTTTTTGTTTTTTTGTTTTTGAAAGCAGAATTTATTGAGAGGACAGAAAAGCTCCCACGGTGGGAGGGGACCCAAAGGGGTTGCCTCAAGATGTTCTTAAAACCCAAGTAACACCCATTAAGTAAAAGTCCTCCCATCTCAGTTTCATCTCCATGGTAATCACTGTAACTCTTTGGTAGGAGTATTCTTCCAGTTTCCTTTAAGAAATAAGCCGGAGCCGGGCTCAGTGGCTCAGCCTGTAATCCCGCGCCTTTGGAAGGCTGAGGTGAGTGGATTGCCTGAGCCTG